GGATTCCTTAGCATTCAGATAAGCATAGACCTAGAAGAGACTTTCTGTAAAGATCATTGAATTTACATCCTTTATTATACACTTGAGAGAGAAGAGGCTTTGACTTGTCTGGGGTAAGACAGCAGCAGCAGATGAGACCCAGGTTTCCTGCCTCAGTCTTCTGCTGCAATGAATAGCGTCATAGTAAATCCCGAGGTTCCAACTGGGTGTGAAAACTCCCCATAATGTGTTGATTCAGGTGGACATACTGATGTTAAATATCAAAACGGTAAAACAGAGCTAGGATTGGTGTGTATACCATTAAGGGAAAACATGAAAAACATTTGTTTTTGCAAGGCACCTGCAAAAATAATAAATAATTAACAAATGCATTTTGTCTTATTGCATATTTACTGGGGCAAATACCATTGACTATAAAACTTGAGAAACAGCTTAGTAATATTATTAATGTTCTCAGTTTAGAATAGAATCTACAGACATTTCTTTCAAAATCATCATTATTGTAAATTAATATTCAATGTTAAGTTCTAAAAGTTTATATAAATTATGTAGTATCTGAAGGTACTTGTTTTTCTGTGGATTATTTGAACAATACTAGAAGAACATTTCTTATGCCCCAATTTATTTCTCACTTGTCTTCCTGGTGCCTAAAATTTTTGCCTTTGATTTTTACCCTTCGAATTATCATTATGATGAACAGCTACAGGGATCTCAGTCACAGACAATGATCAGCTTGAATTACTTATTAGTGTTCTACCAGAGAGGAGAAGCTCAAGAGAATATCAGTAAGTTTTGATGGAAGCAGAAAAAAAGAGTACCAAGAAAGGGAACTCGGCATCATGGTGAGGAAAAAGCAGAAGCAAAAGTTTTAAAAACGATAGGCATGCACAGAGAATAGTAGAAGCTGTTGAATAGTAATATTGCCTAGCTCATAATTTTGTCTAGACTTTGATCTGATGGCTTATAATATATAGATACTTTGGTTTTTTCTTTTTAATAAGAACACATTCATAACATTTATAGAGTGTATTACAGGTTAACAAGCACAGCCATAGCCATGACCTCATATAAGTGACTTTTCAGTTAGCCAGGACAGGTTCTAGTAGCTTCAGAGACAATAAAATTGAGGCACAGAGTTATTAACTGACTTGCCCAAGTTTATATAACCAGTGAGTAGGAAAGCTAAGATGGGAGCTTGCATCTTTTGTTTCTGAACCCAGTACTCTTTCTCCTGTCTGGATTGAGTAGGGAAAACATTTATTAAAAGTTTCAGAGTCAGATAACCCAGGCTTGACTTTACCACTTTTTTTTTTTTTTTTTGCCACAACATGCCAGTGTTGTGGCCTTGGGCATGTTACTAACTGCTCTGAATCTGTTTCTTCATCTATGAGAAAGAGGGAATAATAATACCTACCTTTTAATCTTGTTGTGAGGATTCCATCATGTGAAGCAAGAAAACAGCTTAATGCGTGGACATGGCAGGTACTTAACATATAGAGCAATAAACACCTGGAAAAGATACCTACTTTTCCTATTTCATAGAATTTTCCCATATTTGAAGGTTAAATGATGAATGAGGGCAACTTTCCAGTTTATTCAATGATACAGTGTCTCCTTGACTTAGGAAACTAGCTCCCGTGAAAATGTGTGTGTGTGTGTGTGTGTGTGTGTGTGTGTGTGTGTGAATGCACTGTGCGTGTCTTGGTGTACACCTGTACAAATGTGTCCACAGGCATGTGTGCATGTGCTGAGGGTATAGTAGCAGCTGGTTATCTGTGTTCCTACGCTACATGTATCCAGAAAATGTGATCAAATATGGAGCATTTGTCTGCTGAAGATAACAAAACTGGATCATGACCATAAATCTAACTCAACCAGGTGGGCCTGAGCTCCAGAAACACAGGCTCTGTGCTCTCAGAGTATTTTTATGGTACTTGGAGTTCCCAGCCTGGGAGGTTTAGAGCAACTGTCTTCAGTAGACACAGCTATGGACTCACAAAATTACATTTATTTTTTAGTAACTTTATTTACAATTACAGTATTCATTCTTTCTTGAAATATTTCAGAATAGACTTGATTAAAATCATTACACAAATAATATCAACTTTTTGTTATATATGGCACAGAATAATTTAACACTTTATAAATACATTTCATTGATGCACAAATGGGAGAAGCACCCTTTGCCAAAAGCAGTACAATAACTGAGTTCCATTGGTCTACGGAAGCGCTTTAAAAAATGACCACAAGATGGCACTGCGGCCAAGAGATTAAGAATGTCTTAAACAGTTTTCTCTATGGCATTTAATTTCTTTCTTTAAATGTAGAAGAATCTGCTATTCTACTTAACGTAGAGTAAGATTGGTTACTTTATTTTAAAGTATTGACTAGGACAGAGTTCTTTAATTACAGATCTATTAATCATTCAAGGACTGTATTTCACTGGGGTAAGTGGTGTATTTAAAAAGCCTTAGTAGTCAGAAAGCCTCCAGACTAAACAAACGGTCGAAAGGTGCCATTTTATCTAAGATCAATCAACTATATAGAAGGACCATTGTTTTACCAACCCTCATAGAATTGCGCTACAGTCTTCCCATAAAATTAGGTCAACTTCCAGTTATTTAAATAACTGATACTTGTTACATTTTAATCTGCTTTAACAGCAATGGAAAGTCATAGAAACATTACAACATGAATTCACATTTAAATCAACATGATACAAACATGCACATGTATGCATATACTGAGTGTTTTCATTAATGACTTGCTTTTCCTCCATATAAATATATAAATATTGAGTGAAGTGCATGGGAACATGTCTGCACATGTATACAGATACATGGTTGCCTATAATATACACTTGAATTATAGATACATATGGAGAGAATAACATATATGTTTGTAATATATATGTATTCAAAAGGCATCTGTTAGGCAGTATTTATACTCATTCTGCTCAAAATTGAGTATATGGGTGGAATCTGTAGTCTTTAATATATAATGAGAAGTGCAGAGTTATAAACTAAGGCAAAATGCATAGGAGCAGAAACTTTAACACTTGTATTTTTATCAGTTAGTATGGTATAATCATTAAAGTAGTTCAGATGCAGTCTTGGTTCTAGTGATTCACTATAATTTCTAGTTTTGAACTAAACACCTTTCAATATATCTATAAGGACTTAATTCGGATAGCCCTAATGCATTTTCAAATTATACAATGGCACCTCTCATGTTCTTTAGTTTTCCAATCTATATATTTTTTTTCAAATGGTTTAGAGAAAAAACTATTTCTCATTCAATAGAAAATATTATATTACTGCTTTTTTAAAAAACTAGGGAGTACAATATCAGTGAGTAATAAACGAGTTAGTTTTTAAGGAAGTGGAACAAAAATTTTTCTGAAAACTTTGGTAGTCACAGATTGGGTCCAGGTTGAAGTACATATTTCCAAATTAATTGTAAATTTTGACTTCAAGTGGTATTTTCCCCCTACTGTGTTTGGTTGATATTCATCAGGAAACTTATTGAGAGAACTATCCTCAGAGTAGAAACAAACCACTTTCTGAACCAGTAAGAAAGAAAGAAATTGAATTGATTCTCAAAATAAATCTGTTAATATTTTTGACAAGGACAATTCCAATTAGGTAATTTTCTTTGACCTGGAGAGCATTATAAGTGCAATAAGCCAGTCAGAGAAAGACAAGTATCACATGATCTCACTCATATGTGGAATCTAGTGAACAAAATAAACTGATGAGCAAAATAGATCCAGAGACAGAAGCATGTAACAGACTGATTTTTTTATGTGCATATATGCATAACCCATGGACACAGACAAAAGAGAGGTGAAGGCCTGGAGTGGGAGTGGGGGTGGGGGTGGGGGCAAGCTAGAAGGGGTCAATGGGGGATATGGGGGACATATGTAATACTTTCAACAATAAAGATTTTTAAAAATAAAGGCAAAAATCTTATTTTAATTATTTTTATATCCTTAGTATTTAGGACATTTCCTCATAGATAGTATACACTTGGTAGATGATTGTGAAACCAAAGCTGAACAGAAAATAATATAGATTAATTGCCCTGAAAGCATCAGTTTACCTGATTGATGGGTACCCATAGGAAAGACATCTGCATTTTACAGAGAAGTCTAAGACTGTTGCTGTCAGTAGCCAAAAACCTGAGTCTATTCCTCAGTCCTGACACAGTTACATCAACACTACTTAGTGCTCTAAGAGAGCATGCATGATGCAGTCATAAGAAGCAAGTTACCAAACGCCTCTATGATGCCATTTAGGAGAAGCAATTTTTAGAAATGTATTTGGTAATGTTAAATTATCCTTTTGATAGGATGGATAGTAGAACAAACACTAAACAAGACCACATTTTAAATTCAGAGTGAAGCACAGGTAGTAGAAGAGAAAGCAGCAATAGTTATGAAATAACTTTTACTAGTAAAATCTTTTTCATTTCTGAGAAGAATTAACCTGAAATTCAGCAGATGACAGCAACTTTGTGAATATTTCAAAGTGGCATCTATGAAAAAGTTGTCAAGTATTTCATTTAATTATCTTAGCAATATCGACTTCATAACGCTGTTCTTAATGCCTTATTTTTGTTGTTGTTACAAATATGTATCATGGTAAGTTTTAAAGAGAATTGTTCTGTAAGAGACCATTATATTCAATCAACTTTTCACTATCTATAGCTATTTTTATTCACAGCGGTAGGTAACCAACCTCTGCCATCAATTAACAACATAGTAGCAAGGTTTCCACTTGAAAATAAAGTTAATTTAGATTTATTTGTAGCCTCATTATAATTATACAATAAAAGCTAATTATTTTAAAGACATCATTTACAATGTTAAAAATAAGTATCATAAAACCACAGCTTGAAATGCTGTCAGAACATTTTTGAAGTGCACATTTTGTGGCATTTAACCCTGCTTTTAACTGATGGAATAAAATGAGGCATCTAGATATTATTGTTGGTTTTACTAAACCCGCCTAATTTTTTCCAGTCTCTCTATTATCTTTTCTTTTCTTTTTTTTCCAGATAGGTGAAAACTTGTTCAGTGTGTGCTCCGTGATTGCCATGGCAACTAGTCTATCACACACAGCTAACCTTTTCATTCACTGGGTTGATATTGCCTGTAGGAGCATATTCTGAATTTTGTTTTCCTAGAGGAATCATAGTGCAGTCATTACCTGTCACTTTGGCATCTTTCTTTTTCTGTCCCTTTTGGAGTTGACTAGATTTGTAGGCTAAGGCTGGGATAGTGTTCACTAAAATTAACTGCAATGGTTTTTTATTTTCCTTGTACTGACACTGAATATACCGTGAAAAGGCTGACCTGTAAGTCTTGTTGAACAGGGTGTACACCAGTGGGTTCACTGCTGAAGAGAGGTAACCGATCCAAACGAACACATTGAGCAGGGCTCCGATGACATCCTCGTTACAGGACTGTTTGCAGATGACGGCCATTATGTTCGTGATGAAGAAGGGGCACCACATGACCACAAACAGAAAGAAGACGATACCCAGCACCTTGCAAGCTTTTTGCTCATTGCTGATGGACTGCATAGTCCTCTTGCCATAGGCCCCTGGCTCCCTGTGGATGGACCGCTGGAAGAGCTTTTCTGAAGACAGGGAACTCTGAGGAAGAAAGCTGAAAGAAGCTAATTTGGCCCGTGTGCCAAGATCACCCACACACAAAGTAGCTTCTTTCTGGAGTGACTTGATAGTTAGAAAGTAGGTGATCACCATGATGGTTAAGGGGATGAAAAATGACACGAAAGAGCCGATCAGGACAAAGTTATCGTCTGCGAGTAAGCAACTCCCTTCCTTAAAGACCTTGGAATCATCCTGTAGCCCAAAGACTGGGATTGGCATTGATATACCTGGAATTAGACAGAAAATGAAAAGTGATTATTAAGGAATTGAGTACATGAAGGCAAGAGTGTTGATACATAATGGTGGCCGTGCAAAGGATTTTATATCAAAATTATTTAAAAGCTTAATATATACTTTCAGTGACAATTTAAAATTCCCTTGGAATTATTTCCCTTGGACTTAAAATTCTCTTGAAATTACTTTATATCAACATTGCTTAAAAGCTTATATATACTTTCAAAGAAAATTTGAATTTCTCTTGAACTTATAGATATTAATTTTTATATAGTAACTGTATATTATATACTATGTAATTATAACATTTAATTCTAATATACAGTTATATATTAATTATAATATATATACTAATATATAATATATTTTGACTAGACATAATATAATATATAGTTTCTTATACTGGAGGCCCGATGCACAAAAATTCGTGCAAGAGTAGGCCTTCCTTCCCCTGGCTGCTGGCACCAGCTTCCTTCCAGCACCCAGGACCCAGGCTGCTTCCCTCCTCTGGCTGCCGGCAGGTCCCCAGGACCTGGGCTGGCTTTCCTCCAGCCCCAGCTTTGTCGGGAAGGATGTCCGTAAGACGTCCGGTCTAATTAGCATATTACCCTTTTATTATTATAGACTAGAGGCCCAGTGCATGAAATTTGTGCACTGGGGGGGGGGCGGGGAGGAGGCTCAGCCTGGCCTGTGCCCTCTCATAGTCCAGGACTTGCCGGGGATCGGGCTTAAGCAGGAACTCAGACATCCCTCTCGCAGTTGGGGCTCTCACAGTCCAGGACCCCTTGCTCCTTACTGCCTGCCTGCCGTGGAGGCAGGAGAGGCTCACGCCACCTCCGCTGTGCTCACCAGCCATGAGCCCGGCTTCTGGCTGAGCAGGGGCAGGGGGAGGGGGAGAGTGTGGCTCAACCAGAAGACTGGCTCACTGCTTCTTAGTACTGGCCCTGCCCCCGACCTACTGGTGCGGGGGGGCGGGGGGGATGATCTGAGGCCAGGCAGGCTGGGAGAGGGGCTGTGGGAGGTTGAGGCACTGTGGTCACACCCTGTCCAGCCTCTGCAGAGGCTCTGGGATTGTGCAGCCCCCTCTCCCGCCACCTCTGCAGAAGATTGGGCTGCGGTGCTGGGACCGGGACCCCGGGACCCTGAGACTGCACTGTGGCCTCTGGGGAAGGAGGGGCCATGGTGCTGGGACCAGGACCCCAGGACTGCGCCGAGGCCTCTCCCGCCACCTCTGTGGGAGGCGACCAGGACTATCACCCTGCTGCTGCTGCCACTGCCGGCCGCCGTGGCTGCCTGCCCTTGTTCGGCCCTCACAGTTGCTGTGGCTTTGTCTGGAAGGAGTTCCAGATGTCTGGAAGACGTCTGGTCTATCTGGTCTAATTAGCATATTACCCTTTTATTAGTATAGATGTTATGTTGCCCTATATAATCCTTTACCTATAAAGAACAATAAGTCAAGCTTTAATATTTCATGCTATATTTTTTTCTGATCACATTATACTTATTAATTGAAGAAAATACACAGAGAAAAAGAAACAAAAATAAAATGACCAATAACACCACCACCCAGAGATAATCACCATTAACAATATGATGTTGTTTATTTTATTTATTTGGTGGAGGCCCAGTGCACAAAATTCATGCATTGGTGGGGTCCCTAGGCCTGGCTGGTGATCAGGGCTGATCAGGGCATTCTGGGGGAAGGAACCAGGGAGGTTGACTGTGGGAGCGCACTGACCACCAGGGGGCAGCTCCTGCATTGAACGTCTGCCCCTGGTGTCAGTGCATGTCATAGCGACTGGCTGTTTCAGTCATTCTGGTGTTCTGGTCACTTAGGCTTTTATATGTATAGATTTTTCATGCCATAGGTTTATTTACAAGCACATCAAGTATGTTGAGTTCAACATTCTGATCCATTTTTCAAAGAGACTGCACCTCTTAAACTGCTCCTCTTTATATCTGTTTTATGGATCAACTAAAACACTTTATTTCTTAAGTAGTTAGTGTCTTATTATAAAGAAAGGTGCAGCAAATCCAGATTCAAAATATGTAGTGATTATAACCTTAACTGCCGAATGCTCTGTCCCAGTAGAATGTTGTCGGGGAGCTCTGCAAAAGACTCAGAGACTGAAGGTGGAGGAAATGGCGGTATCACATCAAGTCCTTTTTTTTCACCACGATGTTGTTTATTTTACACACACACACACACACACACACACACACACACACACACACACACCATGCACACACTTTATAAAACTATAAACATATTTTCTTTTAAGAAAATTTTAAAAATAAAGAAAGGCAGCAATGAATAATGAAAAATAATATGTATTCTTGCCAGGAAGGGATACACATTTTGTGTAGTTTCTTTTTCTATTTATGTGCATATGTAAATATATATGTACATGCAGTATCTTATGTATAACTTTGGATCTTATTCCATTTAACATTTTTAAAGTATTTTTTCAGAATATGATTTTCTAATGTTAATTTAAAGTAACTTTAACCAATTTTTATTCTTTTTTGAAAAGCTTTTTATTATAGAAAAAGTGAAATATATGGCAAAACAAAATAAAACCTAGCACAATAAAACCATTACCCAGCTTCAATAATGATCAGCTCAAGGACAATTCTGTTTTACCCACACCCCTACCTGCTGTACCCTCCTCCCCCAATGTTACTACTCCAAAATAGAATTTTAATATTTTCTTAATATAATTAAATATAGAATCAGTTTTCAAATTTCCAAATTTCCTGTAAAGTCATTATATATCTTTAGTAATAGAATATTCATAAGGGTGTACTACAAAGGAATAAGCAGCCACAGACTTTTCTTTTATTGACAAATACAAGAGTTAGGTACAGAACGAGACAATACATGTACTCCAAAATAGAATTTTAATATTTTCTTAATATAATTAAATATAGAATCAGTTTTCAAATTTCCAAATTTCCTGTAAAGTCATTATATATCTTTAGTAATAGAATATTCATAAGGGTGTACTACAAAGGAATAAGCAGCCACAGACTTTTCTTTTATTGACAAATACAAGAGTTAGGTACAGAACGAGACAATACATGGGAACATGAGCTTATGGTCAGTTGCTCTGTCACTCAAATTTGGGGAACCTCTCTCAGGCACAGGAGTAGGCAGAGGAGGGAGCAGAGTAGGTAAAAGCAACACTTTTCCTCTCCTCATGCTAATTTCTCCCCCATTATATAGGACCTTATTAATGGGAGATTCAGCTGGCCACCACCACCTTGTGCAGTTTTGGGGAAGTGGGAGAGTCTTTCTCTATTGGCTTGGGAAAGGCCAAGGCATTCATGTGACTGCCACAAAGGAAGAAACAGGGTGATAGGGAAGAAAAGAAGACATGAATCAAATACTCTGTATAACTTGGTTTAAGGTTGCTTCATTTGTGAAAGGGGAGATACCATAGGGGCACTCTGGGAGAAAGTCAGTACAAAGTTTCTTTCTAGTGCCTGCCCAGGTTTTAAGCTCCCTCAGAAATGTATAACAGGGAGTGTCACAGCTTCTGATCCAAACTCTTTAGAGTTTAATAAGTGGTCACAATCCAGCCAAGAACACAGGTTCATTCCAGAGTTGGGGGCAACTACTTGCTTGACTCTTGTTATCCATCTGGTAAAACTTTTGTTGAGGGTCTATAATCTAATTTGTACATACATAGAACAGAGCTCAGTTCCATCCAACTATAGATCCAACTCTCCTAACCTCATATCACCTCATAGTTGCCATTCTTGCCAGGAGAGAACATTAGCTTGAGTTAAAGTAATGCTTAACACAAATCTTTCTCAGTAACGTTTTCCAGTATCTTCATAGACTTAATGGACAATATTTTTCACTTGTCTATGCAAAGCCATCCCAGTATCCTTGGAAGGTGGAGATAAATGACATCAAAACTGCTCTCAAGGACACTAGTGTGGTTAATGACCCTTCACTTCCTTCATTTCTCTATGTCCCTGGCCTGTTGTTGGGAACATTCTATGGGCCAAGAAGAGATGGAAGAATGATGGCTCCAAGAGAAACATCCTCTGAAACTCTTTTAAAAAAATGTATTTTTATTGATTTCAGAGAGGAGTGGAGAGAGAGAGAGAGATAGAAACAATAATGATGAGAGAGAATCATTGATCGTCTGCCTCACCCACACTCCCTACTGGGGATCCAGCCTGCAATCTGTGCATGTGCCCTTGAATGGAATTGAACCTAGGACCCTTCAGTCTGCAGGCTTGATGCTCTATTCACTGAGCCAAGCCCTGCTCAAGGATCCTCTGAAACTCTTGATACACACCAGTTTTATTTAGCCTTCAGAAAAATCTTATTCTATTTTATTCAATTATAGTTTACATTCAATATTATTTTGTATTAGTTTCAGGTGTACAGCATAGTGATTAGACCAGCCATGGGCAAACTACGGCCCGTGGGCCGGATCCGGCCCGTTTGAAATGAATAAAACTAAGAAAAAAAAAGACCGTACCCTTTTATGTAATGATGTTTACTTTGAATTTATATTAGTTTACACAAACACTCCATCCATGCTTTTGTTCCGGCCCTCCGGTCCAGTTTAAGAACCCATTGTGGCCCTCGAGTCAAAAAGTTTGCCCACCCCTGGATTAGACAATCATATATTTAACAAAGTGTTCCCCTTGGTAAGTCTAGTATTTACCTAGTACCATACATAGTTATTAGAATACTAGAGGCCCGATGTACAAAATACGTGCAAGAGTAGGCCTTCCCCCAGCTGCTGGCACCAGCTTCCCTCTGGCACCTGGGACCTGGCTTCCCTCCAGCCACCAGCAGGCACCTGGGACCCTGGCTTCCCTCATAGACCTGGCTTCGTCCAGAAGGTTGTCTGGAAGGATGTCCAGAAGGACCACAGGTCTAATTAGCATATTAAGCTTTTATTATTATAGACTAGAGGCCCGGTGAACAAAATTTGTGCAGGGGGGGGGGGTCCCCTCAGCCCAGCCT